ACAGGAGGAGTTTTAGGGTTGGTGTCAAGTCAACCAAGAGGAGATGTAGACATCGGCATCCAGTTGCTCCAGTCAGGAGGACAGGTTGGAGAGCAGAATGGGAGGCAGTTCAAGAAAGAAGAGATTTTGCATAGCAGGAGGTAGGGGAAGCATTAAGAAGATGCAACAGTCGCTATGTGGATGCCATAGAAGTAGAAAGGGTCAAAGAGAGACTGGGAGAGTAGAACTTGCTTTTTAATACATACTCCTTTTCAAAAATCTCTGCTTTACGCATATTGTCTCCAGTTTCCTTCCCCAAAAATCTCCACGCTTCTCCCCTTTTCCCTTTCTACCCCATAATGTTTGTGGCTGCCTCTGTCTCAGATCCCATCTAAGGGAAAATCAGTATTACATACTTCTGAACAAATTCTCTTTCACCGATATTTTTGGATAGTAACTTCCCTTTAGGTTGGTGCCATTTAAACACAAGAAATTTGTGTCTGTACATTGTTGTGAGTATGAACATTTGGTCTGCAGAACATTCTTGCCTGTCTTGCAATCTGTGTGCAGCACAGTGGAGGGAAATAATTAACAAATCAATCACCCAGCCAAATGTTAATATTTGCATTCACCATTGAGAGAGAGAGAGAGAGAGAGCAAAACTGCTGGTGGAAATACTTTTCAATTTTATTGCAGGCATAAATGATACCCTGAGAGAGGGGAAGCAGGTCTCATCCTAACCCCAAAGTGATTGCAGTTGTATTTGAGGTCCTATGAAGTGTTCAGGGTTTTGTCGTCTTTTTTTTTTTTTTTTCCCCAATGTCCCGGACAGGGCTTAGAGAATTAAACCCTGCTGTCACAAGACTCAAAATTTTCTGTGCAAGACTTACCAACAAGAAGAAGCTTCTGTTTGGCTACTTAATTCACTGTTTAGCTGAAGGTTTAGCTAACAGCATTATCTTAGCACTTAGTAAATGGACACCTCAAATTGATAACCATGACTAATATTTAGTCTGTCCCTTTTACATCTCTTCTCTACCCCTCTCAAATCATCAGGAATATTATAGCATTAAAACAGATCTATATTTCAGAAGCCCAATTTTATGTGCTCTGTTGTTTTTCGTCCTGCTGCATGCTCACCTGCTTCACTCCAGAATGACTCCATTTCAATTAGGTGATAAATTATGTAAAGTGTTTCCTAAGCATTTCTAACCCTAATCTAATCTGTTTTATTGTCTTTCCATGCACTTGACCCCTAATGATTGAAATATTAAGATACAATTATTGAGATGCTCATCAAGATTTAAGTGCTCGTGTAATAAAATGAAAGCAAAAGCTTACTGTGAGAAATGTTGATTTTAGCTTCCCTGAGAATTAGAAAAGATAGACACTGGCTGGTCAAGAGAGGAATTACAGAAAAGCCCCATGAAGATGGAAAAGAGCTGTTGTCTCTTGGATTGTGTCACCTCTTTGCAAGTGCAGTGTTGTGCTCCCCTGAGGACGAGTTGAACTGCGGGTGCATTACAGAACCCTTCCAGAGCCCCTCCTTAGGCAAGCAGCAGCTCCTCATGCAGTGCACTCCTGGCAAACCTGTGTTGGGAATGTGAAGGTATGAGGATTGAAGTCAAGTGCTCTTTGGTTAAAGATATATTTAGGTGGGTGGGAACAAGTAGTAATTTTGACACACGTATCAGCAGTGCTATCAAAATTGAACTGCTTTGCAAAACTGCATCCGTCTTGGTTCTGAACTTGATTAAGAAAGAGAACCAGTATTGAGGGAGAGGGGAGAGGTGTGTTTATGGAAAGGAGGAGAATTTTAAAAATGCCAGAATTTTGTATTTGGTCATCACTAAAACTACCTTGAGTTTTTGTTTTGAAATGATGGTTTTGTTTCCATTTTTAACCTTGAAAATACAGAAGAAAATGTCTAAAAGTTGAAATCAAATTAATTGCTTCAGAAAAACAATCTTGAAACATTTCAACATCAAATCTAAAGTTATCAGAGTAATTTGTGAAATATGGACTTTAATCCTCCTCGTAGTCCTACGAAGCAAGTGCTCTTCCTGAGTGTTTGTAATAAAATAGTTTTGCAATCAATGGATTAAAGTGTAAACCTGGACCCAGATGATTACAGCAGCACCATCATCTCTTGAAGAGCAAGCTTGAGAGACTGCAGGATTTAGCAAGGATTCATCTAGCAAAAAGAGGGAGGAAAAAAAATGCCCTGAATTTGGAGATGTTTTTCCTGGAGGAATAATGGCTCTTATGTAAATAATCACTTTACTCTCTAAGTGCGTACACTTTCATTCCACAAATTGACTTCACCTCTGCTGCCCTTTTCTCTGGTGCAAGCCTCTGCTAAATCTAGCAAGCTTCATCATTCTGTTTTTAAATATTAATGCTATAAACATCCAGGGCAGCATTATGTAGGAACCTCATTGTTTTAAAGTAACGTCTTGAAGCCTTGAAGTCACTTTGAAATAAAAGTTTTGGCCGGATAGCACTGTGAATGACAGAGGTAGCTTATCAGTAACATGGAAGAAATACAGCTTTTGAACATCATCTTGTGTGATCAGGTAACAAGAGAGGAAAAATAAGCATACAGTAAACAATACAAGTGATGGAGTAGTCTGGTAAATAAATTCATTTGCTGTGATACAAGTATTTTGCAGTTACGCATGGAAGATGCAGCGTGTGGCTGTTTGCTCCTCCTCTGGATGTGACAGGTCATGTTTATGGTGCTGGGCACTAAAACTGGTGATCAGCGAGCGCAGCAGAGGGGACGCTTCACACCTGCCCTGCCCAGCTCTGGTCCTGAGTGCACCCAGGTGCCCCCACGTAACTTCACAGAAATAACCGGCTTCACCCAGAAATTGCACCAATGGAAGGAGAATCAGAATCCCCACCTAAATCTTGGTCTGTTCATAAATGGTCACAAATAGTTTTCAGCAGCTCTGTGTTCTGGGCTGCAGCTGACTTTTACTTTTTTTCTTTCTCTTTTTTTTGCTGTCTTTGATGATACATGTGCCTGTCTCATAACTGTTATTTATTCTTCCTCTTTTTAAGCTAAAATGGTTGGAGGAAGAGTTCGGCACTCGCTCCTGAGGGAAGATGATTAGTAACTTGTCTGAGGAAGGTTTGTTCTAGGCAGTTAGTGATTAGCTTTTGTTCTTAGAACTTGAATGTATATATTTCTCAAACAATTACGTGTTAGGGAGTATATTGTGATACATTCTGACTGTAAGTATCGATGCTAGTGCCTTTTACAAATTTCAAGCCTCTTGTTTCAGGACTACTTTGTCAGTGAATTTCAGCGGTTAATTACCTTTTGTTTAAAAAAATGCCAGTTTTCATTGTCTCCTCATTTTCATGATATCTCACTGTGAGGTAGGCATCTATTGTATTATCTCTGTTTTCAGCAGCCTGAGTTCTATATCTTCCATGTGAAAATCTTCCAGTTCCTGTAAGGATTACTCCTGTTTTCTAGTTTTTTGTTTGCCCCTGCTTATGGAAATAGTTTCTGTGTGGCAGCTAAAGCTAAACAGGCAAGTCAGTGGGAAGCTGAGTATCACTGCAGGGGTTGCCCTTTTGGCTGAGCCTAGATTTTGTCTAGGTCAGCTTTCTGTCTCTCATCGATGCCACGGGTAAGTATTTCAGAGCAAAGTGCAGCGCAGCCCTCAGTAAGGAAATAATGACCCAAACACAGACCATCTTCCACTGTCAGTCTTTTAAGCTATGCCATGGAAAAATGAGAATCTGTAAAGCTACCTATTTTTTAACCAATCTAAAGCAGCTGGGGGGGAGGTTGTTGTAAATATAAATATCAAATCCTTTCTGATATCCTGCTGTTCTTATAGTCTCAATGGTGGCTTGCAACAATGAGTTTCACCTCAGGTTAATCAAGTACTCCAGGAAAAAAGTGTTTGCCTTAATCCATTTTATATGTGTTGTCTTTTCAATTTCACTTAATGTTCAGGAATGTAGCTTTATTTCCCTTTTTCATTATTTTCTAAGCGTCTGTAATGTCTTCCCTTATTAATCTAGGGTCTAAAGCAAACAGTTCTAAATGTCTCAGTCACTTATGTTTTTAAGTATTTTATTTCATTTTTGTTGCCTGTCCTAATTTTGAAATTTACTTTTAAAAGATGGGAGTTCCAGGCATAATCCTGATCTGTAGGTTGGCAATAGAATGTCACTGGGATAATTTTGATTCTTTTGACTATTTTTACATTTTTCATTTTGTTTTCTCTGATGATCCCATGTATACTGGAAAGGTTGCAGGGGCATGTTCAGTACTATGCAGGTTCTCGCAACAAATACATCTCCCACAAATACATCTTCACTTACCTGAGCATCCTGGAGTGCTTCCGTTAGCATTGGTCACAATATGCTCTTTGTTATGTTCCAGTGAGAAAGCAAAACGTGTTTTGAAAGCATTTTATTGTGGTTTATTTTTTTTATTTGTAAAAGATCACATGCATATATTTGTCAAATTCAGGTGAAAGGCAGGCGTTTGCAGTGGAGCGTGGTTAATTCGGTAGTGATCTGCTCCTTTTGGAACTAAAGTGTCTGAACTGAAGCTCATGTTTCTTCCTGCAGAAAGGTTTAAATTATGGCAGTTGCTATACTGTTTAAGTGATTAAATAATAATCTTTTGAGTTTCTGAGTCCCTTTTTCAAGAGTGCCGCCCAAACCTGAATTTATCTAGTTAGGGATGATTGTCACTTGTGAAAATGTAATTTGCCACAAGGTACTGGAAGACGGATGATCTCCCAAGTCAGAGGCTGCTTCTGGAGCTGGTGGCTTTTCATCATTCAGTGAAACTATATCCAAGTTTTTCTCACATTTAAGACCTTTGTAATGAGGATATAGAAGAAACATTGTGATCGCTAGAAAAAATCTAGATTGTGCTTAGTTTTCACTCCTGATGAAGGAGCATTTTGCATGAAATTAGAGCTGGAAAATAGGAGTCCAGATTGCTAACCTTTTTCTCTATTTTTTTTCTTTTTTTTGCTCTCTAGATCTAAACGTCCAGTGCCAGTTTCAACCACAGCACCCAGAATTGACTCTCCCAGGGCTGTAATTCCCCACCAGAAGGTATGTGACACATTTTTCCTCAGCCGAAGTTAATACCATTTTTATCTACCGTGGCGAAGGTAAATACCTACTACAGAAAACATCTTTTGCCCACCTCAAATAAGTAAACATTGAATGAATGCACAGGCAGCAAAACTGCCATAGTGCACTGTATTGGTGATCTGTATTTTGCTAATTTCTGATTAGCAAACCAAAGCATCCAACTGTCCTCTGATGTGATCTGGTCTAACCCATCCTGAGCAGTTTGTTTTCATCTGGGCTGCAGAAGGTGACCACAGCTTCTCAAAATACTCATTTGCTTTTGTAGATTCTTGGGGGAAAAACATTTTACTGTGCCTTAGTGTGTCCAAATCCAGACTACAACTTGGTTTGGAAAGACATTAAGGCACTTGAAATCTTGCATCATATTGCATTCTTGTCACATTATTCAAAAGATATGAGAATAAATAATAAAGAGGATAAGTCAATTGAATGAATAACAGCACATGGCAAAGGAAGTGGATGGCTTGGTTTCTGTGATCGTCTTCCATAAAATAAATGTTCATATCAGAATCAAAAGCATTCATTGATTGTGCCTGGCAACTCATCATCTGGAAGAGCAAGGATACCTGAAAGATGCTATACATCTTTAGGCACAAGCACTGGGTAGGGCATTTGTATTGCTGACAGTTTAGATAGGTGGAGCAGAGGTAGAATCTCCATTGCTGCAACTTTATCGCTTCTGTGAGTTCCAGTTTCATCCCTATCATGTAGCATAAATAAGGAACACTGAAGATCCAAATACATGGATGATGTTCTACTAGTTTTGACAGTTCTGACTTGCATAGATAAATTTTAAGTAATTTATATAAACATCATGGTTTCTAAATTCAGAGGTTAGAAGGGATCATTCCTGTAACCACTGCAAATACGTTCAAACTGAAGAGGATGCATTTGGGGAGAATAATTTGATTCAAATTTATTTTGTCAAGTTTTAAATGAACCTGTTTGGCCATTTATTATAGAAGTTATATGGGATGAAGTCATGCAAAGAGTCACCAAACAGACCTATGAAATTCCTAGAACAAAACCATCATTCTTGCAGTTAGACTGGTATTTGACTGCAGCAGCAAAGTAATAGGGATGGGAAGGGGAGAGAGTACTTATTTTCCCTCAAGAACTACACAGAATGCTGTTAGTTTTCAAGGCAGAAAGTAAATGTGTCTCTTCAGAGTTATTCAACAACACAAGACTGACAACTATGTTTTGGAACCCTCCGTAGCACCTGTGCATCTATGACAAATTTGCCTACTTCCACTACAGGCACATAAAAGCTTTTATATGTCTGATTTTCATGACTCTCTATTAGGTGCATTTCTTCCATACTTTTTTGCCATAGGTACTCAATGCTGGTTACCACACGAAACATTTTTGTCCCTTAACTATCTACCCTATTGAAAAGTTAACTCCACGTACTATAGGTGGGTTTTTTAAAGGTCCTGAAAGTGTCTTTGGCACGAAAGCCATAAAGTCACATCACATTTTATATTTTAACCCTTCAGAGAGAGATGAGGATCAAAGGACTCGGCCCTTTTTCATGTTAAGCACTCAGTGTGTCGGTGCTCTTGGAGGGCAGCCGGTTCTGAAAGGGCTACAGGCAGTACTTGCAGCTAGAAAAGAAATTTACTGGAACCTTTCTGCGGGAGAGGAGTGGCATCTAGGAGAAGATGGGAAACAGGGCGTCTAGTGGTATTCAGAAAGGTCGTCATTGGTGCAGGGTCTTTGGCCCAGGGCAGAAGAGGTAGTGGCACAGTGCTGTAGTGGGGAGCCCTTTGCAGATTCGTGTCACTGGTATATACTAGTAGACAACAGCAGTTTTTAACTGTAGAATAATTCTTCTCTGAGGGCAGTTTGGAAGAAATTGAAGGCATTGAACCATTGGAGAAGTCTCAAAATCTAGATTAACATTCTTTACTGGTACAAACAGTGGTATGGGGATGTCGCAGTAAGGTATGTGACAGTAAATATACTTTAAAAATCAAGGTTTCTTTGCTTGTCCCTTCATTATCTCTAATAACAGTATCACTGTAGGAATGAAGAACTCCATGACACACAGGCAGAAAGTGTCACCTCCACATCACTGCTTGGCAGTGTTTAGACTCTGATAGCTCACATGAAATGAATTTGATCGCATTTCAAAAAACAGCAACAAGCAACATTGCGAGACAGTCACGACTGTCCTCAAACGTTGGGAGAAATTTTTCTCACCTTTCTCTGAGTCAAGGTTAAAGCATGGCAATATTAGCTAAAATATCTGCATGTGCAAGTGTCTACTTTAAACTATAAATTCTCTTGTACAGTATTACTGATCTGATTGCAGCTTCCACTAATTTTCAAGCATGCATTTCTTCTTGGACTGCTATGGTCATGGTTTTTTTGTGTTTTAGAAAAACAAATGTACATTATTTTGCAAAGATATAGGAAAGGTATAAAAACCCCAGAGTTCCTCACCATGACAGAAATTTTTCTACATTCCACAAGTAACATGCATTCTCACCTTGCTTTCTTGAGCTGATCAGTGTTACTGATGACTGAGGTTCTGCAGCCACACGTATGATGTCAGCTGAGGTGTAGGGCTATTACTGGAAATAGAAGTTTGACTGATTTGTAGTTTCACTACTTCCCTATTTCATAGAATGGCATAGGCTGGAAGGGACCTTAGAGATCATCTAATCCAACCTCCCTGTCGTGGGCAGGGATGTCTCTCGAGTAGATCAGGCCAGTCAAGGCTCTGTCCAACCTGGACAGATTAATTTGACATTAATTAAATTTTGAACAATTCTAATTTAGTTTAGTCAAATCTTTTTGATGTCGTCAGAAGGTTTAGTCAAGTCTTTTGCAGAAGTGTGGCCTAGCTGGAAGAAAGGGCATAACTAATGCTGAAAGCATTTAAAAACCAAGAAGAGTAAGCCTGAGTCCAAGGATTGAAACTAAGCCACCATCAGTCAATGAGTTTCTGCTGCTTTTCATGGAGGGCACAGCACAGGTGAAGGTTCAGCTCGATGCAGTTCAAAACGTTCAAGCTGGAGATTTAAGGCTAAACATAGCTTTAGCATTTGTCCCTTAGGTAAAGATATTAAGACAGCCTCTTTAATAATAGGACTAAGTGTTGTCCTGTTTATGAAACAGTACTGGACACACTTGTGTCAGAGTCCCAGTGAGGATCTTGTAACGCTTATGATTTGTTTCCTGCCAAAACTGGGAACCTCTGTGGCTAAGAAAAAATAGGTGCAGAAGTGCTTGTGTTTTAAGTAAAGCACAGGATGGAAGAGCTGGCTGAGCCAAAAGCTGTTGGATGTCTTTGGTCAGAGCCATTTAATGTCATGGGTCCTCCATTTCCTTTTTTCTGTAAAATGTTGAAAGCAACAGCTGCTTCTTGGGCACATTGGGAGGTCAAATTCATTAGTATAGCATTAAAATTGTTCTCCCAGAAGTGCAAAAGGTGAATAAAGACAGAACATGGGTTGTCAAAGGAAGGGGACCTGAAAAACTGGTATTGTGTTCTCCAATATAAATTTGTTTCTCACTTCTGTGATACATAAGAAGGAGCATTTGCCTTCCACAGAAATTGAATATTTATAAAGAACAATGGTATTTCAGAATGGGAACTGAGCTGATTCATAGCTTCCTTCTATTCCCAAATGTTTGAGACTCCTCTACATGTATCAGCTCTGAGCTCATTCACTGACAACACACTGGGAAATTAAAATGCGGTTTTCCCCTCGTGGTAAGGGATTGCTGCAGGATCCCAGCATCTTTCTGGAGGGAAGCAGCCCGTTGCTCAGTGTCGGAGCCTCCCCTCCTGGTCGGCTGAAGGGTAGCATCAGATTTGCGTAGTCTGACCTGTTAGCTTGTTTTTCCAGCCACGGAGCCTGGAACAGAATGGGATGAGAGAGACGGGAAACAGGGGAACGTTTGTTACTGTTGGCTGCATTTCATGTGATGTAATGCTAAAAGCTGTGCTGCCGCTCAGGATCAGAATTCTCCCCTTCACATTCAGAAAAGGTTTCAGAAATGCGACCCTGAGCTGGAGAAGAAAAAAAAATAATCTAAAATATCCTGATGGGAATAAACCGAGGGAGAGATTCTTTGTCAGTTGCAGAAGGAAAGAGCTGAATAAGCTGGTTATTGGGCAGTACAGGAGAACTGATACAGCTGCTCTCTCAGACACTTCCTGTTTCATCCCTCTCCTCCCAAACACAGGGAAAACGGCTACCTTAAAGCTACCCTGAATATTAACTCCAAATGGAGAACGTTAGCCTGGCACTGCTGCCTTCCTAGGAGTTCTAGTGTTGAGTTGCCAGCATGCTGGTATTCTGGCTAGAAATTGTTTTGAGGAGTGAAATCATAAAGGTGAGCAAAATCATCCACCATCATTTTTTTATGACAGTCCTTTAATTTTTCCCTTTGCCTGATGTTAGTGTCTAGTAACACCAAAACTATGAAAATGCTTTGGAATTAAGGAAGTATTGGCATTTTTCTCATTAGCAGTTGAAACTGATACTTTCTAATCCTATCTCCTTGTGTGTCCTTTTATCATGGGGCTCAGAAAAGAACCCCAAAGTTAATTTACATAAAAACCACAGAGTTTTCAGAGTAACAAACAAATATACCTCTGGCATATCCCTTTTCTTCTCTATTACCTCTGTTGTTTTATGGGGGTTTTTTAATATATTTTAATATTTGTTTTGTCCCTCTCTGTCAGTATATAAAACTCACTTGTACAAGTGGTGACTAAATTTATGAACATGGCCTTGTGCGTTTGTGCCTCTTGTACAATACATTTTTAAAGAAAGTCCGTATTTTCTGTTTGTTTAATGATACTTGGAAGCTTGCCACTTAAAGGTTGCTTGCTTGCTGTTTTATGTGTCAGGGTATAATGACTGAAATATGTAATTCAAATGCATTTATTTAAAAAGGCATAGTCTGAAAAACGCTTTTAGGATTATCTGTTTCTGCAG